CATCGCCAGTCACGATACGATGCAAAAACCCTTTCCTTTTTTGCCGTTGAAGCAGCTGTTTACACCTGAAAAGACTCTCGGCTTCAACTCGTACGGCACCCAATGTCCTTGTTTTGAATCATTCCTAATAATTTCAAACGTTTCGAAACTGTTGTGTGATCAACTCCTAATGATTCTGCAAGTTCAGCTAGCGTCTGACATGAGTCTTCATGCTGTAATGCCTCCAATTCTTCGTCTTCAAACTTTTTCGGTGCGCCAGAGCGTCCTTTACCTTCAACATCAAAATCATTATTTTTGAAATGTCTAAAGCAATCTCTGCATGTTGTTTCCGACAGAGTATGGTCGCCGTAAGTCTCAACAAGAATTCTGTGTGCTTCAGCTGCAGATTTTTTTTTAATAAAGTAGTGCAGTAAAATTCCCCGCAAATACTCTTTTGTTGGCACGGAACTCGACATGTTTAACACTATGAAACAAAAAGTTGTTTACACTTCGGCGAGATGACATACACTGAACTTCAAGTTTGCTTACCATAGTTCCTTATCGATGTGTTCCCATATTCAACTACACGCACGCAGTTCTGTTAACGCGATCTGTTGGAAAACAGCGAGAACTTATTTAAGGTCCTAATATTTATAAAGATTTCTGAAAAAATATCTTAAACTCCTTTAAATTTTATAAAGCTTTTTTCGGAAATTTATAGGAAAAAAAATATTAGAATATTTGAGAATTCACATTTACTGGGTAAAGCACTACCTATAACTTAAAAAACTTACAGATCTGTAAATTATACGTTATGACTTTAAGGAATTTATAATACTTTACCATTTCTAAGATTTCTCATTCCATAATTTCCGATGAAAACATAAATCTGAATAGATAATGTATATGGTTTCAAAAATCTGTATAAAAATACAAAAATTCTTAGAAATGTTGCAAGATACAATGAGAATTTTTTTTCAGAGTGATTTTGCTATAATACATAACAATTTGGCAGAAATATAGCATACCTAAAATTACATTTGATCATCAAGATAAATTGTATAAAATATTCAAGCATGATGATGATGCCGTAAAAAGTTGTAACATTATAGTAATCAGTTTATACATTCAATATAATTACTTAGATAGTTCAATAAAATTATTTTTAAAATTGTATTTATAACTAAATTTTTAGATACTTCAGCAGAATCGTTCTTTTTGTGCAATTAAATTAGTTGAAGTGGTTTTATTACCATTTGTAATGATTCCATAACTATTTTGTTTAGATCTCCTGTGTTGGATGATACTTCCCGAATCAAATTTTGTCCATTAAATTATTTGCAATTACCAACGTCGGACACTTTAAAGAACGAGATAACTTTCGAAAGTAATAAAATTTTATATTTTATATAAACAACGAGGAAGATTAATAAAAGAGAATATTATTTCAAATAATTGTGTTTGTTTGCAGGAGACATAAATGCGTGGCTCGAATCGAAGTTTGGTCAATTGCAATGCGATCCATTTTTTTCTGAATATGTGGAACTCTTTGAACGTATGCTCTTAGCGAAGGAACCAAAAGATGTGTTAGTAGAGCCTCTAAAAATGTTATTTAAAATAATTCATCCCATTTACTATATAAACAAATAATATAATATATTATAGGACCGTACATGTGATAACACAAACTATAGAAATCAAAGCCTTAAACGGTCTAGCTGGATCTTAATGCTTGTATGATTCTTATGTGAATTTATATACTACGTATGTAGTCCCACAGAAACGCTCGCCGAAAAATTTCCGGTCTTTAAACGCTAACTCTACTAAACTACTGCAGTAATATCACGAATTAAATTGATTAGCAATTTAACAAATTTTTTGATGCTTATTCGCATCTTCGAAACGATCTTAATAATGATGAATAACATATTAAAATCTGTAAATAATTAATTCTTATTGCG